TTTTAATCAATTAGTTCTAATAAGTTGGGTTTTAGGAAATTACACCTACGGTTCTTCTTGAAACATTGAACTCACAAGAAACCTTGTTGATATTCCTTTGTGAGCTGTGTAGTCACCTAAAATTTGTTTTTTGGCATATGGTAAGATTGCTTCAATAGTTCTTTGTCTTTGTGAGTTTGAAACTCTTGTGCTGCTTGATCTGTTTTCTCTTCGCAGGTTCTCATCATTGTTTGGGTGAAGGACAATGGAAAGACCATGGATAGTCTGTAACACCCCAACCCACGTAACCCCAATAAATAGGTTAGCGAACCGGGTTGCTACAAGATCGGTATCCACATCCAATATTTTCTAAGAAATTAACTAAAACCATTTAAATACTCATCGGAATTTATACAATAGTGTGAAAGCTTTATAATTTAATAGAATATTAATCTCTTCCGTACATCTCCTTCGTCATGCTGTCATCTAGGATGGATTCAAAGTCAACCCTTCCACGATTACCTACGTGTAACAAAGGGGAAAAAGAGGCTACACGCTCAGCAATGAAGTTGAGTGAGAAATTTCTAACAGTTCGAACATACACCTAGGCGAACCCACTAATTCATAACTATCACATGATATCATACACTGAAAAGGTAACCATGCAAGGATAGGCAGCGGAATATAAAATTTTAACATCCTAACATGATTATCTTGCCCAGAATCACGTACTAAAACATATAGTAGTAAGAAATTTATACCTTTCTCCGTAAGCGGTAAAAACGAAGAAGTCGTATGAAGAGCATTGAAAGTGCAAACGTAACCGTTCAAGCGTCCGATCTCCAACTTTGACACACGAACAACGCCAGAGTCTACCACAATCTTTATGCTAGTAAAGATTATAGTAGTATAAAATATAAAGATTAAAATTTTGGATAATAATAATCTTGTATATTTTTATAGAAAAATTTCTAATAATATTTAGAAAATATTATAGATATTTTCTATACACAAAATGATATTAATGAACACAATAATATATTTTCTCTCACTAAAGTGTAATGTCCGAAACTCAAAGCAAATTGGATGATTTTCTTCTCATTTTAATGGTGTGTGAGGTGCATATATAGAAAACAAAGATTAATTTTTTTTGTCATTAGCTAAATGACAAATCAATTAACTCCACTAAGTAATCAATTAATGAAATTTTATTCCTCACACTCTCATCATTTGACACAAGGATTTTCAAAATTCTTCTCTACTTAAATGTTCAAAGTGTATTTTATTTGACACCAAAAATTAATATAAATTTAATTTTAAATTAAATAAAAATACCAATATCATTTTAAACAAGTATACAAATATACTTTAAATAATTTTCAAATAGAGTTTTTCCTTTTGGAAAAGAAAGGAGCAACATACTCATTTTAGTTAATCCACGGGCTTGATCACTAGTGTCAGTAAATGGGAGAGGAAAAAATCTTTTCAAATAGAGGTTTTTTCGTTCAACCATATGGTTTATATATATATATATATATATATATATATATATATATATATATATATATATATATATATATATATATATATATATATATATATATATATATAAAAACCATATGTATAATATATATATTATACTCCAAAATATTTTATTTTACTATTTTTTACAAATATACAAATTACTTATTATCCCATTGTTTAATCCTACTCCTTAAAGTGTTCAAAGTGTGTGACCCCTATAAGTACTTATAAAGCTGGCCACAATATTGGCTCTGCACCAATACTATAAGAAATAAGCGGTATCTAGCAACACATTATTGCCCCAGATTATAAGTTAAGACGTTTGCACCGTCAAAACCTTTCCACGACTCAAACTGCGTGTAACTGTACCCCTTTGTCCCAATGTCTAGACTTAATGCAAGTGATTAATAAAATCCAACTTGTATCCATTAAGTCATTCACTGATTTATCAAGTCTGACTGATAGGAGCAAACGTCATAAAAACATCTCAGCATGGCCATGCAATTTCCTCAGTCATGACTTATCAGTGGGCCCCATAAGACATTAATCTCTTAAAAAGAGTAGTGACAAATCCTATTTACGTAATCTACATTTTTGAATACGCGCTACGGCATACCCAAAACAAAGCCTGTATACCATCCTTATTTCATATGGCTTAGGACAATGCATCAAAGCATGCGGGTTCACATATGCAGAAAACATAATAATTCAAGTCGAAGGATAGTTACACCCGTGGTCGCGCTAAAGATGCTTAGAGAATGAACTAAAAGTTCAAACAACATCTTTAGGATGGGTCAGTCTGGCATCCTATTATCTTCAGATAATATCTGGCCATGTGCGGATGTGAACACACCGTCATTGACTATGAGACTAAGTCAAACATCCAACACACACTAGTCTCACATGCATTAACGATATCTCACTCTCGTTAATACTCGATTATGGACATTTAGATAAATATTTATTTCAAGATGTTAGTCTCATCAGTAGAATAACACTATCTGATAAACATCTTTAAATATAAATCTAGGAATATAATATTTGTTTACATTAGCATGAGATGTGTAAACATATTATATCTGCCTATACATGATAGAATAACAATAAACAGTTGGCCATTAGTGCACATCTCCAACATGCACAACATCACAGACATCAAATGACAATGTTCAACATTAACAAACATAGAATATTACCTTCTCGTTACTTAATCACCTGACTTGATCTTTTTACTGGCCTCATAACCCATGCTAGGTTAAGGCTTATACTAACTCTTATTCTATCCACTTACTGGGCACATAACCTATTCTAGGTTAAGGATCGTCTTTGTTACTTTCTTACGGGAGTCATGAACTTCCCCTTCGGAACAAAGGCCAAGGTATAAACCAACTCGGGAGTTCCTTGTTGGGTGGGTGAGATCCCTGTCCCCTTCGGAACGACAGTTCATAGATCCCACATGCCCACGTCTACCCGAGTAGCCATTGGACCCAGCAGGCACCACATGGCTCTAATCAACTACACTTATGGCATACCTTGCCACTAATCCATTCAGGTCATTCCCAAGAATTCCTCTATGAGATATACTCAACATTCATTAACAATACATAATAAAACATTTATAATTCCATAATGCATTTAACATGATATCCAACATGATCAAATAACGGCCTAAACTGGGTGTAAACACTCATGTTTACCACCATCCAACACACAAAGTCTCGGAATCCATGCTTGACTAAAACACAGGTCAGCGGACCGGGCAGCAGGTACCAGAACGTAGCTGTCATGGTACAGGGTACCGTCCTCACGGTACCTGGGTACCGGTCCTACGGTACTGGGGTACTGACCGAATCAGTTGGATCCTTTCGGTGTGTGTGTGTGTGTGTGTGTCTATGTATGTATGTATGTATATGTATGTATGTATGTATGTATGTATCTATGTATATATGTATGTATGTATGTATATATGTATATATGTATGTATGTATATATGTATATATGTATATGTATATATATATGTGTGTGTGTGTGTGTGTGTGTGTGTGTGTGTATATATATATATATATATATATATGTATGTATGTATGTATGTATATGTATATATATACATACATATATACATATATATATATCTATGTATGTTGATAAGTCCGTTTCGTTCTTATCATTTACATCATATTCTAAACGTTATTGCACGTAAATAGTATTTAATCATCTCATAAAATGTGTTTTCAATGAATAAAACTCTCATTTTCGTTCTAAGAGTCATGAAAAGGGATTCGACATGAAATTATCATAAATCATCCATTTTATGTTCAAATACTTGAGAAAAAGGGAATAAATCATCAAGGGATCAAGATTCGGGCTTGAACGAGCTTCCGGGAAGTCAAAAACAGTATTCGGGACCAAAACGGAGCGAAATTGGGCCAAAATCACGAAACAGCCGCGAAGCCCAACGGACCAAGGCCTCAAGGCGTCCAACTTGGACGCTTGGACAAGTTGGACGCTATGGCTTAATTGCAGCCCAAGAATGACACGTGGCAAAATCTGGTTGGCCGGGACAGCTCAGGCGTCCAGATCTGGACGCTTGGACTTGGACGCCTTGGAATCGTTCCTATAAATACAGAACGATTCTTCTCATTTTTACAATCCATTCTCAACCCAATTTCGGGTTCCCCTCTCTCAATTGCTTAAAATACTTTGTATATTAGTTTTAGTAGTTAGTTTGAAGTATTTTCGGAGGTTTTGACTCCAGATCTGTTCTGTTCCGCTTTTACGGAGGTTGTAAGTTTTCTTTATTTAATAAAATGCTATTTTAATTTATGTTTGCATAGTATGAGTTAGGGTTCGGATCTCTGGGTCTGGACTAGTTTGGTTGTTTATTTTTTGATGTTAAATTAATGTTGGAATGGTTAATCTATTGTTCTTGCCTTATTTAGTTAATTAAACTCGAAGGATTTAATTAGCTATTTATTGAGAAAATATTGTATGCCAAAAGGCTGTGATATTCAAGTGCAACGGATTAAGTACAAATCTAGAAATGGATGAGTAGTAATAGAAATATTATTATTCCAATTGTTAATTTAAAATGATAAAATAGATCCAGATGATGTCTTGACCCTAAGTCCAGACCTATACTTGTACTATGTAAACTTAATTTATTATTTTTACTCTGCTCCCTTTTTTTTATAATCGTTCCGAGAAGACTTTCATAAACCAGTCCTAATCTTCGCCTAATTAGAGTAATTAAACTAATTCCCTTCGTCCACTCCTCGAGAGATACGACACTCGGAGAGAAAACTAACCCTTTATTGGGAAGGTTTACTACCCGAAAAACTACAACTGTCAAATGGCGCCGTTGCCGGGGAGTGGCACTGCATTAGTTTAATTTCTTCTGATTAGCTTGGGTGAAGATTGGTTAGAACGATCTTCTCACTTCTTTTTCACCAACCACCCGTAATAATTATTATGGATAACTCTAGTGGTTATTACGGTCCGCCTTCTTTCTACCAATCACCCAACCGCCATCCGTTTCAAACCCATCAACCTTATCACCCACATCAGTACCCATATGGTGATGACTACCAAGTCAACAATGGGTCTGACTACTATCCCTACCATGAGGAACCACCATATGATATCCCGTCTAGAAACTTTGGATATTCTCCATACCAAGATCCTGATGGGGATGATTATTATGAACCTCATGGTGATCAAGATGACTATGTCCAATCTGGGCCTATGTATGACAATCAACCTGATCCTCTCGTCAAAGAAATCATAAGATTAGAGCAGAAGATCTTCTATTTCGACGAGGTTTTATTCGCTGAAGGCTCCTGGTACGAACCACCTTACTCCCGTGACTACACCTTGTTTGTTGAAGAACAAATTGAAGCAAACAAGGTGGCAATTTGAGAAAGAGCAAAACTTCTTGAATCAGTCCGGAAGGAAAAGGAGTTCGAAAGGAGATTATGTGAAGGATCAGAAATGATGCAGAAAATGCTGGACGACTTTCAAAGAGAGAGACTAGAAGCTGAGGATAAAGCTGATAAATTAGTCAATGATCTCCGCAAGGCTATTGAGCTTAAACGCTCCCTCCAACCTCAAGATCCACAATTGGAGGAAGTTAATGCTCAAAAAGAGGCTTTAGAACCTAAGACCAACCCTGAACCATCCAACCATCAGGTGCCAGTTCTAGAAGATTCACCAAGTTCTACACCATCACAGAAACCCGAGAGCATATCAACTCTTGCTGGGGCTACTGTGGTGATGTTACCCAATCCCCTCCAAGCCAAGTCTCAACCGGCACAGTCATACAAGAGGTGGAACCAACTGAGGGACCTGACTCAGAACCACCTAGCCTTATTCAAGAAAAGAAGGAGGAGGAAGTTTTGCCTATGGCAATAAACGACCATCTCCTTAATTGTGTTGAAGACACACCTCCAGAAGAACCTGTTCTGGAGGAAATAGAGCCCATTACCTGCCCCCAAGATACCAATGTCCAAAAGTCCGAGCAGGAATCTACAGGCGAGGAAATACTTTGCATAGAAAAGCCAACTCCGTCTATAGAAACTTGTGTACGTAATGCTTCATCTGAAGACTCAGACCAAACCTTCTTGTTATATCTCAGCTCCGGGTTTGACGGTATTAAGTTCAAACTCAGGAAACAAAGTCCTTCGATTCTCAAGATGAAATCATCGGGGTCGTCCTTGCCATCAAAGGTTGGGATTTCAACCTTGAAATCAGAGGAAGACTTCTCTTGGTTGTTTCTCCTTATGGTGGGAGAAGGAACTCCTGATTGGACGCCTTCTTCTTGCTCATCTTCACTTTCCTCTGGAGTGTGGACCATGCTCATTTTCAACTTGGTGAGTTGAGCCACTTGTTTGGCCAAATACTCAACTTGAGCTTTGAGTTCGGCATTGAATGCTACCAAATCTTCCCTAGTAATGTTTTGGGGGGTGTGAGACATGTTTTGGCTGAAATGAGGATGAAGGAAAGGAGAAAGAGTGGAAGTGTGTTCTTGGTCCTTTGGGATGTAGGAACAAGAAGCTCTGATACCAAATGTTATATCTCAGCTCCGGGTTTGACGGTATTAAGTTCAAACTCAGGAAACAAAGTCCTTCGATTCTCAAGATAGGAGAATAATCGATTATCTAGTCTAGATAATCGATTATTTGCTGGTTCAGTTTCTTAGATTTTCAGGAAGGGCTAATAGTCGATTACCATTATGGTGATAATCGATTATTGAGGACTGCAGGAGTTTCCACTGATGTATGATAATCGATTGCCGAGGGTGATAATCGATTAACGATGCCTGCTGGTGTTTTGACAGAGGAATGATAATCGATTTTTAACAATGTTAATCGATTATTTTGACAGATTTCCGGGAACGAAATGCTGGTGTTTGTGTGGGGGATGGCTGGGAAAATATGGAGATGATGAAGGAGTTCTTTTGGTATTTTAATGTAAGGAAAGAAAAGAGATTAAGGATAGAAATGGTGGGAAAAGAAATGGATAGAAAATAATGATGGATAAACCAAGTTGGTGTTTAAGAGATATTACACACTCTTGTCCTAACTTGGGGTTTGAATCTAGAATTTAATTAAGATATGACACACTTAATCAAATATCTAGAACCTAAAACTCACACTTAAGATAACCACTCTTAAGATATAGAATTAGGAATTTGGCTAAAATAGCATCACACTATTTTAATAATACTCAAAGAGTAAAAGATTTTAATATTCAAAAGGTTGTTTTACAATGGCCATAAGGCCTGAGTTATATAGGCAGGGGAAGGGGGAGATAATTCACAATACATTGAATGTAAGCTTAGGGAAGCTTCCTTGCAACTATCTCTTCCAAGGCATGGGGTATTGGCCACTCATTCCTGTCTCCTTAGTGGAATAAAATCAGGGATGGGGCTGGGATTGTAGGGTTTTGGGTTTTTGGATTGTAGTGGTTGTTTTCCTGGGTTTTGTGGGTATTATTTGGGTAAGAATGGAGGGTTGTTTTTGGTCATTAAAATGGGACAGGGCTGGGTATTATTTGTGGGTATTTTGGAGTTATGGCTTTGGGTTAATGTGAGGGAAAAACATGGGCAGGAAGTAGGGGCTGGAGGTGGGTCATGGTTTTGGCTTTTTGTGGGTGTTGGGTTGGGATTGTGAGGTTTATTTGGGCAGGGAATGAAAGGAAGGAAGAGAGGTTTTTACTGGTTTATTAAAAAGCTTAAAAGAAGGAAAATAACAACAAACAAAAAGGTTTTGGTTTACACACTCTTATTTTCGGCCATGGCTAAAATAAGAGTAGGGAAAACTTTATTTTGAAAAGGAAATATTTTGGATGTTTAGGGAAGGTATGGGAAGTGTGGGCTCAGCCTAGGGTGGGTGTAGGACAGCCATGGTGTTGGGTTGGGTTCTAAGGCAGGAAAATGGAGAACTTTCAACCCAATTAATGTCACCACAGTTGGGCTTTATTCCCCTGATCCGTCTATCCCTTGGCGGGCTACGGAGAGTCTTCGGGCATGCTCCCGGATATATATATCACTTCTTTGACTCCCTACTTGACGGGTGTGACGATGTCTGCCCGAAGGATGGTTGGAGCTTAAGGAGTTGGGATGAACTTCTGATGAGTGACACTGAAGACTCTTCTATGGGGAAAAGCATGGTCGTAATCATCAAACCACAAATGGATAGTCAGCCGATTGAAGATAAGGAAGAAATCAATTGCGCAATCAAGGCTAATGATGTGGATCTGCTGAGGAGCCTTCCGCCACCACCCACCTATACAAAGTCTCCTCCATATTTCATGTTGCCACCAAGCCGCAGGGATGAGTCAAGGATCCTGGACCTTGATCGAGCAACAATTCAAACAGGGTGGCATCAGTAGAGAGTCAAAAGGGCCAAACTTTATGACTCTCGGATCGGAAAGTCACGGAAAAAGTGGGTGAGCGTCGAGCTACGGACGTTAAAAAAGTGCTTAACGGGAGGCAACCCGTCATTCAAATAACTAAAATAAATAAATAAATTCAATAGTTTTTTAGTTTTTGAGGTTTTGCTTGCCGCACCAGTTTTAGGGGCAAGAGTTATTTTGTTTGTTGTCTTTGCTTTTGCAGATGAGAGAATTGTAGGGCATACCTTACAGTGGGAGCGAAGAAGATGTCTCACCTGCGGAAAACACAAGGTTTCTGCAACCTTCGAGGCTTCTTGATCCAACAGGTTGAAATTGGCTACTGAGAGAATATTGACTTTATCAGTAAAGTCCCTTTTTCTCTACTATTTTGAACATGATTTGGATGCTTGATGATTTTTATTTTGGAATTTCACAACATGACTCTTAAAACCATTTTGAGAATATTTTATGCATTATTTCATATTTTCATGTTATGGTTATCTATTATTTCAATCTTCATCTTTGAATCTTGTAAGTATTGAGATAACTTAGTAATTGCATGTGAGCATTTCAACCATTAACTCCAATTCCAAAATACTTTTAGCCACGAGGGCGTGGTTTCGTTTAAGTGTGAGGAGGTAAGAGTTCCTGGTTGAAATGATCTTTTTAGGAATTGTTTTGTCTATATATTTTTAGGAAAAGATTTTTATAGAATAGTCATCAATTTTAATTGTTTGATTAATTACTCTTTAGTTATCACCCGTGGAAATTGGAAATTTTTAAAATTTTTTGTCAAACTTTTATTTTTACTCTAACCTTTTGGGAATGTTTTCTAAAATGATTTGGGATAAATTCACAATTTATTAAGAGTTTTTTTTAGATCAATTACTTTTTAAGTGCTTTATTGAAAATCTTTTTGCTGATGCTCTTATGAGTATTTGTTGTTTCTTAAAAAGAGTTATTTTCAAAGTATAAGGGGTGATGTTTCAAAGCATACTTTGGTGAGACCGAGATTCTTGTTTTAGCCAAAAAGCAGTTGGTTCTAGGTCAACTGATGAGGCGTGGTGAGTATGCCAAAAAGCACGTGGTTCTATATTACGTGATGAGGCCTTTTGAGTGTTAGAGTCAAAAAGCATGCGGTTCTATGTCGTGTGATGAGACTTTCCAGAGTGAATATCCAAAAAGCTCGTGGTTCTATGTCACGGGATGAGATTATAAATTTTTCTCGTGTCAACATGACAAAGTTGTGCCAAAGAAAATTAAACCCTTACACTTTGACAAATACTTTTGCAAGAACATGTTTTCCAATTTAGTCATTAAAAAAATTATTTGATCTTTAAAGTACTCTTACAAATATAGTTATCCCAAAGAAAGTTTGGAAAATTATGGTTGTTTAGGTTGGTGTAAAAATATTGATTTGACAAAATTCTTTTACATTTCTAACAATATGGGTGAGAATCTAAAGGTTCATTTCTTCTTAACAAAAAGGTTGATGACTATCTTATTTCTTTTTTCCTTCATAATATGTAGCTTAAACCTTCCCTCTGCAATTATTAATTTGTCTTTATACTTGTAATTATTCAATTTGTTGCTTGAGGGCAAGCAATGTTTAAGTGTGAGGAATTTGATAAGTCCGTTTCGTTCTTATCATTTACATCATATTCTAAACGTTATTGCACATAAATAGTATTTAATCATCTCATAAAATGTGTTTTCAATGAATAAAACTCTCATTTTCATTCTAAGAGTCATGAAAAGGGATTCGACATGAAATTATCACAAATCATCCATTTTATGTTCAAATACTTGAGAAAAAGCGAATAAATCATCAAGGGATCAAGATTCGGGCTTGAACGAGCTTCCGGGATGTCAAAAACAGTGTTCGGGACCAAAACGGAGCGAAATTGGGCCAAAATCACGAAACAGCCGCGAAGCCCAACAGACCAAGGCCTCAAGGCGTCCAACTTGGACGCTTGGACAAGTTGGACGCTTGGGAGTTGGACGCTTTGGCTTAATTGCAGCCCAAGAATGACACGTGGCAAAATCTGGTTGGCCGAAACAGCTCAGGCGTCCGGATCTGGACGCCTTGGATTCGTTCCTATAAATACAACACCATTCTTCTCATTTTTACAATCCATTCTAAACCCAATTTCGGGTTCCCCTCTCTCAATTGCTTAAAATACTTTGTATATTAGTTTTAGTAGTTAGTTTGAAGTATTTTCGGAGGTTTTGACTCCAGATCTGTTCTGTTCCGCTTTTACAGAGGTTGTAAGTTTTCTTTATTTAATAAAATGCTATTTTAATTTATGTTTGCATAGTATGAGTTAGGGTTCAGATCCCTGGGTCCGGACTAGTTTGGTTGTTTAATTTTTGATGTTAAATTAATGTTGGAATGGTTAATCTATTGTTCTTGCCTTATTTAGTTAATTAAACTCGAAGGATTTAATTAGCTATTTATTGATAAAATATTGTATGCCAAAAGGCTGTGATATTCAAGTGCAACGGATTAAGTACAAATCTAGAAATGGATGAGTAGTAATAGAAATATTATTATTCCAATTGTTAATTTAATATGATAAAATAGATCCAGATGATGTCTTGACCCTAGGTCCAGATCTATACTTATACTATGTAAACTTAATTTATTATTTTTACTCTGCTCCCTTTTTTTATAATCGTTCCGAGAAGACTTTCATAAACCAGTCCTAATCTTCGCCTAATTAGAGTAATTAAACTAATTCCCTTCGTCCACTCTTCGAGAGATATGACACTCGGAGAGAAAACTAACCCTTTATTGGGAAGGTTTAGTACCCCAAAAACTACAACTGTCAAATGCCGCCGTTGCCGGGGAGTGGCACTGCATTAGTTTAATTTCTTCTGATTAGCTTAGGTGAAGATTGGTTAGAACGATCTTCTCACTTCTTTTTCACCAACCACCCGTAATAATTATTATGGATAACTCTAGTGGTTATTACGGTCCGCTTTTACGGAGGTTGTAAGTTTTCTTTATTTAATAAAATGCTATTTTAATTTATGTTTGCATAGTATGAGTTAGGGTTCGGATCTCTGGGTCCGGACTAGTTTGGTTGTTTATTTTCTGATGTTAAATTAATGTTGGAATGGTAAATCTATTGTTCTTTCCTTATTTAGTTAATTAAACTCGAAGGATTTAATTAGCTATTTGTGGAGAAAATATTGTATGCCAAAAGGTTGTGATATTCAAGTGCAACGGATTAAATACAAATCTACATTGGAACCGGATGTCTCGCTACAACCCGCTGAAGGCTAAGTCGGAAGACTAGCGCGAATTTCTTTCTCACCCGGAAGACTGAGTATGACTCTTCCGGATTTGTCAGCTAAGAACCGGATGCCTCAAGAAAGACCGGAATTCTCAAAAAGCGGACAAGTGAGAAAAGACTTAGAAAATTATCTAAGTCTTAAATGAAGAAATTCTACTCGTTGGTAAGGAAATATCAATCTCTTGATTTTCAACGGCTAGACTGAAGATAATTATGCTGATTCAAGAACAAATGACTCGAAGACAAAATCTGGACCTTTAAAAATTGAAGAGCCTGTCCAGAATTCCTAAACAAGCACTAAAAGACAAACAGAGTAAAGTGCTACAGTCCAGAATTCTTGAACAACAGCTAGAAGACGGATTCTGTGGAAAAAGGAATCCCTCCTTAAACAATTGGGTATGTCCAAACACCCATTCCAATGAGGAATCTTCAAATCACAATCTTCATTCAAAATTGAAGCCAGCAAATGCAACGGATAGTCTATTTTGATTCAACGGATAGATTATCCAATCCAGCTATAAATAGCATCCTTGGAAGACTGGAGAACAACAACAACAACGATAAGATAAACAACCACAACAAAGCTACCTCATTCACAGTTAGCCCAAAAAGCTTGATTAAGAGAGATTTCTAAACTCCTTATCCAGAAGCAAACTTCTCCTCCTTCCAAAGAGCTATAGTGTAAATACTTGAAGGTTTCCTTGCCTCAAGTACCACACCACGTTGAAGGATACAACTTTTGATCAAACTTATTGATTGAAAGGGGGTAGGTCAACTTTCTTACAAGTTGGTCTTGCAAGTTCTATTGTTCGGACCTTGCAGTTGTTGAAGAAGCGTGATCTTCGAAGGAACAACAAAGCCAGCAAGAGTGCAGTAGCAACATTGGCCTTGCGAAGATATACCGTGCAGAAATTCACACAAGTGTAATTGTTGGTTCATTATTCAAACTACATAGTGGATTTTGAGGACGTAGAAGGATTACCCCACCTTCGAACCTCGTTAAAGTTTGCGTGTCTCTCTCTTTTATCGTTATTCTTACTTGCAAATATATTAAGTGTGAAAACTAACCCATCCATATTGATTACTACTCACTCTACCCACCAAATTCCGCACACAATCTAAAGTTCACAAGAACTCCAGATTAACACTCATTTTCATGTTTTCAAAAAAAACGAAAAAGTTTTAAATTTGTAACAAAGTGTATTCACCCCCCTTCTCTAGACTTTGTATCTCACCACTTTGGGACCACCAATTGGATCACGGTTTGCCTAAGTTTTCTCTTCTAGGTTATGATTATTGGAAGATCATGATGGAAGCACATCTCTACGCTCTACATGACTGCATGTGGATGGTGCTTGAGGATGGACCCTTGAAAATCCAAATGGAGAACCCTGAGAGGAATCCAGCTGGTCCGGATGTAGTCCAGTACATTCCAAAGCCCAAGGAAAAATGGGATGATAGAGATTGCAAAAAGCACAATCTGGACAACGTCGCCAAAGCAGCCATCTTCAAGACACTTGATCCCATCACCTTCTCCAAGATTAAGCATCTAAAGACTGCCATGGAGATTTGGCAAGGTCTTGGGAAGCTATGTGAGGGATCAGAGGACCTGAGAAAGCAGAAGATAGAAGTTCTGCTTGAGAAGTTCAAAAGCTTCAAAATGCTTCCCGGAGAATCATTTGATATGTTGGATGAAAGATTCCACAAGATATTGAATGATCTTGCTTCACTTAACTACATTCTTTCTCCCAAAGAAAAGAATGTAAGGTTGCTGAGATCACTCCCAACTGAGTGGTACACCAAAGCCACATCCATGGAAGAAGGAAGAAACCTGGAGAACAACACTGTTCAAGGTCTCTTTGATGAACTCAGAACCTATGAGAACGAGCTAAAGAAGAAGAAGGAAGAACAAGTCACTCCCTTCCCCACGGCATTGATGACAACTCCAAGAATCCCATCAAGTGAAGGGACATGCACAAGAAACTGTGACACACCTTCCTCCAGCCAGCTGTCAAGCTCAAAAATGGAGAACTACGATGAGGAATTTTCCATGATGGTCAAGCAATTCCGGAAGTTCAAGAAGTTCTTCAGGAAGGCTGATTCAGTCAGAAGGCCATCCAAGGGAAAGCCACAAGTAAGTGACTCCCCTCCTGAATCTTATTTATGCTATAACTGCAGGAAGCCTGGCCACTGGAAGTCAGCATTCCCGTACCCAAAGGTGGAGAAGTACGGAGAAAGAGAAAGGAACGAGAAGAAAAAGAAGGCAATGGTTGCTGCTGAAAGTGACGAGTCATCCAGCTCAAGCTCGGATGAAGAAGCCCTCGTCTGCATGGAGCGCAAAGTTGAGAAGTCCAACCATGGGGATAGGTGGACTATGTCAGAAGATGACACTCTCTGCCTAATGGCCAAAGATGATGCTGATTAAGAGGTAACCTCACAAACCTCCTGCTCATCTTCTTATAGCATACCAACTTCTGAAAATCTTTTTGACCAGTTCAAAAAGATGATGGAAGAATTTGAGGAGATAAATCTCAAACACTCATCCTTAACAGAAGAGAACAAACTATTGAGTGGAGAGAATCTCAAGTTGACTGAAAGTCGGAAAAGTCAACTGAATGAGATCACTCAACTCAAGACTGAAAATGAATCTCTCTCTGAAAAGGTGAAATCCCTTAACAAAGAGCTAGGGATACTTAAGTCCAAAAAAGAAGTGAACAAGCTTCTTGAAACGACCAAACATAAGGGTCGTGAAGGACTTGAGTTTGACCCCTCTAGTTCCAAAAAGAAAGGGAAAACAACTTTCATCCCTCCTAAACCTACTGCCAAACCAAATAAGCAGAAAGGGAGGAAAAGGAGAAACCAACAGAAGTTCCCAAAAAGGTAGTCCCTCCTAAGAACTATAGGAAGCTGGACAGACCTCAAAAAGGAAACAATTTCAGAAGAAAACCTTCTAACCCCCAATATACACGAGGCTATACTCATTATGGGGTAGACAGGAGTTTTCCGAGAAATTCTAAGTGGAGAACTATGCCAAGATATAGTCATCCTCCACCCTAGAAACTATTTGTGCCACCTAAGTATGCTTATAACCGACACAGGTCACACTATGCACAACCTAGACAAAACTATAGGTCTTACCAACCTAGGTTTGCTAGGAGGAAACAGGAAATTGCACCTCCTGCACGTAGGAAGTTTTATGCCTACAACTATGATTACAATCCCAACAAGTTTAGAGCTGCAAGGAAAATTCCCTGCAACTTCAAACTTGATGTAGGGACACACACCATTAACAATTCCGGACCCAAACTGAATTGGGTACCAAAATCTTCCTCCTCCTAATGCAGGAAGCCGCTAAGTACCCAGGTGTCTGGTACTTAGACAGTGGCTGTTCAAGACACATGACGGGTGATGCGAGCCTTTTGAGCAATCTAATTCCCTATGATGGTCCAAGAGTTACTTTTGGAGGAAGCAATGATTTCAGCCTTACTAAAGGGCTAGGAAATCTGGTGTACAAGGGACTAAGTTAGTTTTGTGACAAAGGTTACTCCTTGGAATTCTGCAAGGACATGGCATCTCTCACGAACATCTCCACAAATGAAGTCATTCTCACTGGGAAGAGAATCAGAAACATCTATGAAGTGATATGGAACGATGTCAAGGAAGCATGTCTAATCAGCAAAGGTGACACTAACCTTCTATGGCTTTGACATAAGAGGTTGAGTCATCTCAACTTCAAAACTCTCAACAAGCTATCCAAAGAAGGGTTACTAGAAGGCCTTCCCAAAGCTGTATTCAGGAAGGAAAGCATTTGTGATGCTTGCCAGAAAGGAAAGCAAGTCAAATCTACTTTCAAGGCAAAACCGGCACCCTCAACTACTAGGATATTAAGTCTTATTCACATGGACTTATTTGGCCCTGTTACACCAATAAGTCTAAGTGGAAAGAAATATGTGCTGGTGGTAGTTGATGATTACTCAAGATACACGTGGACAATCTCCCTCATTAGCAAGAAGGAGACTCAAGGGAAACTCACCAACTGCATGAAGCTGATTCAAAACCAAGCAAGTCAGACCATTCAGAAGATCAGATCTAACAAAGGCACAGAATTCCTGAATGAAATCGTCATTCATTATTGTGAAGAAAACGGAATTCTTCATCAGACATCCGCAGCAAGGACGCCTCAACAGAATGGTGTAGCTGAAAGAAGGAACAAAACCCTGAAGGAAGAAGTGAGAACAATACTAACAGAAGCTTCCTTACCAAAGAGGTTCTGGGCTGAAGCTGTTAACACGGCTTGCTATACTCAAAATAGGAGTATGATTTATAAAAGGCACAACAAAACTCCCTATGAACTATGGAACGGGAGAAAGCCTAATATATCATATTTCCATATTTTTGGGAGCAAGTGCTTTGTGTTAAACAACGGGAAGAATCATCTGAACACTTTTGATGAGAAATCAGATGAGGCCATCTTCCTTGGATACTCTACGGTGAGCAAGGCATTCAGAGTCTTCAACAAAAGAACCATGATCACTGAAGAGTCAATACATGTTATTTTTGATGAAACACATGTGGTTGACAAGCCATCAAAGCATGATCATGAGGTTCTGGATCTATCTGACAAGGATGAAGAAGTCAATGAAGGAGATAGAATGAAGCCTACGGAGTTCATTCCATTCAGAAGTCTACCACTGAAGACTTCACAGAGAAATCCGGATTCAAACAGTGCTGAGCCTACCGGAAATCTTGGCCAGCCTTCTAATATTCCGGATCACTCAAACGGCGACAATTCCGGAAATGGCGACCCAGTGCCAATCCATCCGGAAACACCAACTTCTGTTCTTCAACCAGAAGCTGAACTAGATCAACCAGTGAATCCTAATCAACACAATCTTCGTTGGTTAAGGGATCATCCTCCCCAACAAGTCATTGGAGATATTCAATCTGGCGTTCGCACAAGAAGTGCTCAGCAGAATCTAGAAGCTATGCTTGCTTGTTTCATCTCACAAGTGGAACCAAAGAATATTGAAGAAGCTCTAGCTGATTCTAATTGGATCAATGCAATGCAAGAAGAACTCAACCAATTTTCCAAAAATGACGTCTGGAAACTTGTTCCCAGACCTACTCATCAACATGTCATTGGAACAAAGTGGGTCTTCCGGAACAAGATGGATGAAAACGGCGTTGTCAAGAAGAAGGTATAGATTTTGATGAAACCTTCGCTCCAGTTGCTAGACTTGAAGCTATAAGGCTGTTTCTAGCCTTTGCTGCTCATAAGGACTTCAAAGTCTATCAAATGGATGTCAAAAGCGCATTTCTCAACGGAAACCTCGAGGAAGAAGTTTATGTGGAACAACCTCCAGGATTTGAGTCACACACTAAGGGAGATCAAGTGTATAGACTCAAAAAGGCGTTGTATGGACTCAAACAAGCTCCGAGAGCTTGGTATGATACATTGTCTCAATTTCTTATAAACAATGGATTTACCAAAGGAGTCATTGACAAGACATTGTTCAAACTACAAGACGGAGAAGATCTTCTGTTAGTCCAAATCTATGTGGACGACATCATATTTGGCTCAACTAAGGAAGATCTCTGCACCAAGTTCTCAACCCTCATGCAAGGAAAATTTGAGATGAGCATGATGGGGGAACTCAACTACTTCCTTGGCCTTCAAATCAAACAGAGAAGTGAAGGGACTCTCATCAATCAAGCCAAGTACACAAGGGATCTTATCAAGAAATTCAAAGTTGACCAGAAGTCATCCGTTTCTGTCCCCATGAGTACATCCACCAAGCTTGATATGGATGTAGATGGAAAGGATATAGATCAAACTCTCTACAGAGGAATTATTGGATTTCTACTCTACCTTACTGCAAGCCGTCCGGATATCTCATATGCGTAGGTGTTTGTGCCAGATTCCAGTCAAAGCCAAAGGAAAGTCATCTGATAGCAGCTAAAAGAATTCTTAGATACCTCAAAGGAACTCAGAACATGGGTTTGTGGTATGCTAAGAGCAATTCATTTGAGTTAGTGGGATACTCAGATTCTGACTTTGCCGGATGCAAAGTTGATCGGAAAAGTACATCTGGTACTTGTCAATTCATTGGTGGAAATCTTGTTTCTTGGTTCAGTAAGAAACAAAACTCCATTTCTACATCAACAGCAGAAGCAGAGTACATTGCTGCTGGTAGTTGTTGTGCTCAAATTCTGTGGCTGAAGCAACAACTACTGGACTATGGAGTCAAGACAAAGGAAGTGACAATCTTTTGTGACAATCAAAGTGCTATAGCCATCTCACAAAATCCAGTGCATCATTCTCGCACTAAGCACATTGATGTCAAGCATCACTTCATCAGAGATCATGTGGAAAAGAAAGATATCAAAATTGAGTATATCTCAACTGAAGAACAACTAGCGGATATCTTCACAAAACCACTAAGTGAAGCCAAGTTTTCCGATTTGCTTCACAAAATTGGTCTAATTCAATTAGACTGAGTGCGGTACACGTAGCAATTCACTTTCCACGTCTGTCAAAATGGTGGGTGGGCACGTGGCCCTAGGAACAGTTAAAAACCCAATCGCCACTAGCCGCATAAATCGCCCAAAATAAACCCAATCGCCACTATAATCAGATCTGAACTGCCCACTCAGCCCACTCAAATTTTTCATCGTCTTCTTCGCGAGAACCTTCTGATAAAATTCTCAAGAACCCTAATTTCTTCAGATCTTCTCACTCAAATTTCTGAGAAAATGAAGATTGTTGGCGCTAATATCCATTTCTAGAAGTTGGAAGGCAAGTGCTCCTCACCAACGTTCTATCAATCCTATCTGGAGATGATTGCTGCTCAAGAGCTCTCCGAATTCCTTCATATGGAGATTCGATTCAAGTATGAGAACGAAGTTCTTGAATTCTACAAGAATGGAAAGGTCAAGACTGTCAAATTGAAGAAGGATCCACTGAGGACGATTCAAGTCATCAATTCCACTGTTGGAGGGACCAAACTGAAGCTTTCGCAGAAGAAATTGGGAGAAAAACTTCACCTTCCCAATTCCGGAGTTAAAATTGGGAGACTTCCAGCCAAGAATCTGGATTGGAATATTATTGGAATTTCTAGGCAAGCTCCCTCTGGCCCAGCGAAGAAAGCTGATCTGAACAACGACTACAAGCTAGTCCTTGAACTGGTCATTGCATGCCTCGAGTGTGGAAGTGGAGGACATGCTGATGACATCACCCAAGAGAGGGGCTTCATCATCAATGCCCTCATTACCAAGTCTAAGGTAAATTGGGCTGCACATTTCTTCAATTCCATCTCAAAGCATCTGGGAAAACCCAACCAGAAATACCTTTGTCAAGGTCTGTACATTGGACATATCTTGGAGTCCTTGTGTGCTGCTTCTGAAGGAAAGAAGTATGAAGCCAGGTATTGGCTATACTATCTGTCTTCCATAGGGGAAAACAGAGCTGGTGCTAGCACAACTACAGAGGAAAGTTCTTCAGACAATGTCCTTATCATGAGTCTGAACAAGTCAGTAAAGAGGAAGCATGTGGTGTCTCCCTCTTCCAATGCTGAAGCACTAGAGAATCTTGCTCTGATCAATCTTGAAGAAGAAGAAGAAATCTCTGCCCAAGGAGAACTACGAAGGAAAAAGAAGAGGAAAATCACCTCTCCCTCAACATCTGGAAATGTCAACCGGGATGAGTTGAAGGAGAAGGAACCAGTTGAGGAAAACTCTGCCCACAACCAGAGCCCTCAACAACCTGATGAAGAAATTCCTCAAGTTCAGAATTCTCCAACTTTCTCACAACCTCAAATTGATGACGCTGAGAATCAATTCTGGCAGCTCTACTATGACTAGAGAGCTTGGAAAGTTGGAAATTCAGCAGAACACTGGAACACTTGGTCACCTCACCAGTTTCAGAATTTGAGGCTGACGATGAGGATCCTGCAGTTTACAGGCCAATCTTCTCAAAGGCTACAAAAGATCAGGTGGCTCCTACCACTAAAGCACAAGCAGATATGGAAGCCACAGCTGAGGATTTCCAAATTTTCCTAGAAACCTCCCCTGCCATTGAAACGGTTCTGACTGAAGCTGACCAGGAGAATGCAGCCTCTACTCCACAAGAACAGAACCAAGAAGCATCAGAAGAAGAACTCCAGCAACTTCTCCATTCTCAAGCTTTAGAGATTCTCACAACTCCTTGTGAGATCACCAATCCTACTGAAACTGAGATTCTGGAGAAGTCAGCAGATAATCTGGAGATGTCCAAACCTCTAGAAGCAAATGAAGTTCAAGAAGAGCAAGCTGTAGAAGCCCAGAGGAGTTCTGCAGAAGATGAGAAGGAAACTCAAATGGCATAACTGGAGGCCTCCAAATCTCCAGTAGCCATTTTTGAAGAACAAAATGAAGCTGAAGAAAGAGACTCCCTATCTAGGGATATATCAAATTTTATACTTGAGGAAGCAGAAGAAGAATCTGAAAGGACTCTGAAGATCAATGATGAAGAAGATGTGCAAGATGATGCTGAATCTCTTCCTATGCAACTTTTCCAAAGAACACCCTCTTCTCATCAGGTAACCAACTTCCATTTCCATAGCTCTTCCATTCCTACTCTTCCAGATGAGGTACCGGAAACCTAGACAAAGAAGGTCCAAGGGTTGATTGAATCAGCCCTAGCATCTCAACATGCCTCCTTTAGGCAAGAGATAGAGCAGATGGAAGCCAGGTACAACAAACTGATTGAGAAATCCGAAGAGACACACTGCTCCAATCTCAAGGAGATAAGAAAATCAGTGGATAAGACTCTAGAGATCATTTCTCTATTGAGTAACACTGTGAGCAACACGATGGAGACATATGCATCTGACAGTTATCTTCAACTCAAGGAGGTTAACAAAATCAGAGAGCAAATAGCAAATGTCATAGTTAGTCTACAAAAACAAATGTCCATTCTCCAAATGGACATCAGAGCAGCTCTAGCAGTGTCTTCAGCAAATCAAGTAGTAACCAAAGACTACTTGAAGGTAATCATTGACAATCAGAAGGAAGCACACAAACTATTCAGATTTCTTACCACAAATTCTGGAAATCGCAAGATGGAAGTGGTTCTTCAACAACATAGTCCATCCTTGATTCCAGAGCTCCCTATTGCAGTCAAAGAAGGAGAAGTCTCTTATATTCCTACGCATCTGAACTTGACTGATCTAATCCTTGACGCTCAGAGAAGTAATCCGGAAAACTCAACACATCACCTATCCAGCTCAGGATTGGATGGAACAGAGGTTGTAGGAACAATTGCTGCTCACTTCTCAAATGATAACCAAACAGAGGAGAGACGCAACAACATAAGGCGCATCAAAGAACTATGTGGAAACATGCAAGGCATCAGGGAGATTGCCGGATCTTCAAAGCGCAAGAAGCATTGAAGGTTTTCTTTTCATCAAACCAGGGGGAAAGTATGTGAAAACATTACTTTGCTTTGATGAAAACACCTTCTTGTTTAAACATTGCTTGATTAAACATTGCTTTAATAATTCTCTTAATTGTGCTTACTATGCTTGATTTTGCCTATTTCAAGTATGATTTTGAGATTTATTCCTAGCGCATACATTCAGGGGGAATGTAATTCAGGGGGAACTTAACTAGTTTTTGGCTAACAATTGATTTTGGCAATGAATTATTGATGAGATCTAAGCAATGGAAGACAGATATCTCAATTTTGGTACTAAAATTGGAAATCTCCGATTCAGGTACTTTACAAAATCTGCCTTTTTAAACTAAGCTTCAGTCCTTAATTCATTTCCAACAAGCTCTAAAAGTACTGGTCCTTAGAATTTTTAAAATGTACAGGACTTTGGAAAAATAGTACCACTTTTCTTTTAAAAATAAAATTCATATTTGTTTTGGTACTACCTCGTCCTAAGTAGAAATTAGAATTATAGGGAATGAAAAATGATAGTTTTATTTTGGGCCTTGAGAACCCAATAGGAATAATTTCCCTTTAGTACATAGCTTTCTTTCCTTTTTGGGCCACTCTTTTGGGCTTAGCCAAACTAAAGCAGTAATGGTTCTCAAACCAAACGAAACTGATTTTCAAATTAGAACAGTTTCAATTCATTGGTAATTGGCAAAAGATTCCTTCCACTTTTCAACTTCTTGGAAGTTGAAACTCTTTTACTCTCACCGTTCCATCTACCCAATTAATGGAACCCGTGAACCTCCCCTCTCTCTACCTCCTCTCTTATTTAAATCAAGACATCCCAATCCATTCCTATGACAAACAACTCTTTCAATATGAAAAGTCTTCAAACTCACTGTCTGAGAAACACACCAAGAAAAATATCCTCAATGGAGAAACTTTTCTTTCTCACCCTCATAGACGGCAATGGAAGAAGCCTAATGAGAAGAAAAGACTTCCAAGGTCTATGGTGAGAATCTTGGCCGAGAAGGTCTGTGGTGAAAATCTCGTATTTTTCAGGATTACACCATACACCTTCTCTGGAACAACACTCTCTCTATCTTTCTTCTTATTTTGAGAGATGTATTGCTTCCAAGATCTTGAATATCCACTTTGGATATTAAAGATCTATCAAACGCAACGCCAACCGCTCTGCCAAGCAAGTTCTGCTGAAGCTGAAAACGGTTAATGGTGGAAAATATCACAAAATCTCGAGACAAGACTTGGTTTAGGAATAATTGTAATTTGAATTGTATTTGTTTAAGAGTTTTTGTTAACAAGCTGTATATTATGAGAAACTAAAAGAAAGTTATAAAATTAGTTCTCAGTACAGCGACTGGAACTCTTAAACACTTGTTTCTGATCATCAAAAAGGGGAAATTGTTGGGAAAAATATTATAGATTTTGATGATGATGTATTTAGAATGTAATAGGGACTTTAGGTCTCCCCAATTATTCAATGTAATTTTTCTTTTTAGAAATATTGTTAAAACCGAGTTTTTGAGATTTCCAATAAAGTTGTGATATTTCTTTAAGCGGTTTGATGCCTGAAGACTTAATCAAATTCAGTAATTTGGGAATTGGATATCTTGATCGGAAATGTTAGAGACAAGTAAGGATTTCTCAAAGCAAACGAAAATCCTCCAATCCGGAAGACTACATAAGAACCGGATGTCTCGCTACAACCCGCTGAAGGCTAAGTCGGAAGACTAGTGTAACGCCCCAAAATATACCCTAAAATTTATTGAATTAAATATTCAATTAAACAAAATTTGTTTTGATTAAAATAAATTGTTGTTGGGCTTTGGGCTGAAATAAAATATATATTGATATCCAATAAACATAATTGGGATAAATCTCATACAGATAAATCCAACATGTTGATTTATTGTGTGATCTTCATTGGGAAACTGAGTACAGACCCAAATTAAGAATAAATGAAGAAATTGTTTATAATGTGAACTTTGAAATGATTTATTGAAATAAATCATGGAAATAAATAATATGAATTAAATGTGAGAACCTTTTTGAATAAAGGTCAATTAAACCAATTTTGACACTGTTAAAGTCAAACACCCAAAAATATGATGTCGGAAAAAGTATTACAAATAAATATAAAAATTATATCGTTAGATAGAGTTTAACTGCCCGATCGCAACGGTTCAAACGGAATGCAATTCGGAGAAAGTTGGACCAAAAAGTGTACCCCGACTGGAACCAAAATTGGTCCCAATCAGGGACACTGTGCGAACGGCGCCTCCTAGCGCACTAAGCCGATTGTGAATCTTCCTACGCTCAGCAACCAGTGTCTTCTTCTTCCTCAAATCTACTATAAAAAGGGAGCTAAGCATTCTCAATTCTTCACCAAAACCTATACTTCCTTGTTCTATTCTGTTGCTCAAAGTAAGGAGAACGCAGTGGTGCTGTCAATTTGGTGAGAGGTCGCCGGAACAAGACGTGGTGTTCGCCGGAAGTTTCACCGGAAAATATTCNTACTTACTAAAAATCGATTAGAATTTTATTCAGATCAGTGGTTCGAAGTCAGTACCATTTAATCGATTATTTATGTTGTAAAAATCGATTATTATGAATTAATTGATTATTTATATTGTAAAAATCGATTATTATGAATTAATTGATTATTTAAATTGTAAAAATCGATTATTATGAATTAATTGATTATTTAAATTGTAAAAATCGATTATTATGAATTAATGGATTATAGAAATTGTAAAAATCGATTTTTTATGAATTAATCGATTATTTATATTGTAAAAATCGATTAAAATTAAATAATTGATTATTTAAATTGTAAAAATTGATAATTATGAACTAATGGATTATTTAAATTGTAAAAATCGATTATTATGAATTAATGGATTATTTAAATTGTAAAAATCGATTTTTTATGAATTAATCGATTATTTATATTGTAAAAATCGGTTAAAATTAATTAATTGATTATTTAAATTGAAAAAATCGATTATAATGAATTAATTGATTATTTAAATTGTAAAAATCGATTATTATGAATTAATGGATTATTTAAAATTATATAAATCAATTTTTATAAATTAAATGATTATTTTAAATTATTTTCCTCAATTCCAGATCCTGCTACGAAAATATTCCTGAAAATATGCTCTAAAATCCTATTTTTGAAAACAATTAATTATGAACAATACAAATATGATTTTGTATAATAAAAATGATGTTTTAGGCATATAAAACATTATGTGATGCATGGCGGTAAGTTAGAATGTTAACACTCAAAACTAGACCGCTATTTGTTATCAATTGTTATGTTGATTAATGATTATGATGAATGATTATTATGGATGATCATGAATAATGAACTAACTGATCAAAATGATTATTGATGATTCAGCCATGAGAGTAATGAATATATTGATAATTATTAAACGATTTGTATGGTTAAACGGTATCTAGAAGAATTCTAAGATATACCTATTAGTTAATTGATGTTAAGGCTATCTAGAAGACCTCTAGAATAGATCTTGTATTAGAACAGGCTTATGAAAACATGAACATTTGATGAATTAGATAAAAACGCATAAATGGGATTCATAGACCAAACTAGAGGATCACTCGTTTGGGAATGCCCGATCTAATGTTGATCAATCTCTATATTGTTGTTTCCTTAAGTGACTACAGTTAAGTGTCCGAATCATTTGCCTTAAACTAGTGATAGTTTAAGTGTCTGATTGCCTTAACTGACTACAGTTAGGTGTCTGAAATCAATTGCCTTAAACTGATGATAGTTTAAGTGTCTCATTAATAATTGCCTTTTAAGGATCTGGTTATGAAAATTATGATTTGGCCTTAAATTAAAAATAGCTAAGAGTATTGTTATTATATGGCCTTAGACTAAGAATAGCTAAGAGCATTGTTATGATATGGCCTTAGACTAAGAATAGCTAAGAGCATTGTTATTATTTGACCTTGGATTTAAGAATAATTTAAGGGCACTGTCAGAATAATATCTAAATTGAATAAAATGTGTTGATATGAACTGAACATTATCAAAACTGTGAATGTCTGAAATGAACATTGTGTGCATGATATCAAATGATTTGATTATGAATTTAGATTCAGCTTATATGGATGTTCGACGCATTAGATATGCTTACTCAGCTTTACCACTAAGCGTGTAGTGTGTTTTAATTGCTACACGCAGGTAAGCAGAAAGCAGAATGTGATCCTGGCGGCAGATGGGGCGAGATTGTCGGGATGGATGTGACAAGTTTTGAAACAATTTATGATATGTCAATATTAAAATGGCTTCCGCAATATTGTTGAATACTCCGTATTGTATATGTATTGAAAAATATTATTGGGATTAATAAAGTGTGTTTGAAAAGTTTTAAATTTTTACGATTACCAAGTTAAATACTTTAGTCCGAATGGGGCTGCAGAGCTGGACGGATTAGGGTGTTACAACTAGCGCGGATTTCTTTCTCACCCGGAAGACTGAGTATGACTCTTCCGGATTTGTCAGCTAAGAAAGACCGGAATTCTCAAAAAGCGGACAAGTGAGAAAAGACTTAGAAAATTATCTAAGTCTTGAATGAAGAAATTCTACTCGTTGGTAAGGAAAAATCAATCTCTTGATTTTCAACGGCTAGACTGAAGATAATTATGCTGATTCAAGAACAAATGACTCGAAGACAAAGTCTGGACCTCTAAAAATTGAAGAGCCTGTCCAGAATTCCTAAACAAGCACTAAAAGACAAACAGAGTAAAGTGCTACAGTCCAGAATTCTTGAACAACAGCTAGAAGACGGATTCTGTGGAAAAAGGAATCCCTCCTTAAACAATTGGGTTGTCCAAACACCCATTCCAATGAGGAATCTTCAAATCACAATCTTCATTCAAAATTGAAGCCAGTAAATGCAACAGATAGTCTATTTTGATTCAACGGATAGATTATCCAATCCAGCTATAAATAGCATCCTTGGAAGACTGGAGAACAACAACAACAACGATAAGATAAACAACCACAACAAAGCTACCTCATTCACAGTTAGCCCAAAAAGCTTGATTAAGAGAGATTTCTAAACTCCTTATCTAGAAGCAAACTTCTCCTCCTTCCAAAGAGCTATAGTGTAAATACTTGAAGGTTTCCTTGCCTCAAGTACCACACCACGTTGAAGGATACAACTTTTGATCAAACTTATTGATTGAAATGTGGTAGGTCAACTTTCTTACAAGTTGGTCTTGCAAGTCCTATTGTTCAGACCTTGCAGTTGTTGAAGAAGCGTGACCTTCGAAGGAACAACAAAGCCAGCACGAGTGCAGTAGCAACATTGGCCTTGCGAAGATATACCGTGCAGAAATTCACACAAGTGTAATTGTTGGTTCATTATTCAAACTACATAGTGGATTTTGAGGACGTAGAAGGATTACCCCACCTTCGAACCTCGTTAAAGTTTGCGTGTCTCTCTCTTTTATCTTTATTCTTACTTGCAATTATATTAACTGTGAAAACTAACCCATCCATATTGATTACTACTCACTCTACCCACCAAATTCCGCACACAATCTAAAGTCCACAAGAACTCTAGATTAACACTCATTTGCACGTTTTCCAAAAGAAACGAAAAAGTTTTAAATTTGTAACAAAGTCTATTCACCCCCATCTAGATCATTCTCACTTGAACCAGATTCATTCTCATTTCTTTCCTAAGATCGCATTCTCACCAGAACCAATATATATATATATATATATATATATATATATATATATATATTATATGTATGTATGTATATGTGTATATTTTTTTTTGAAAAGTAAAAATATTATTAAAAAGAGGAAAGAAAATACAGGTACAGAGAGGTGGCCAGCCCCAACACAAAGGCCAAAAGAATAAGAGAAAAAACATTCATAAAAGGACAAAAAGTGAAAGGCCAAAAGGATGAGACTATATGGATCATCAAGAGTAAACACCAGTAAAGTCATTCCAATGCAGGTCCCTGTTCCTCAAAGCATCTTCCATCATCATGTGCATTATGTCCCAGCTCTGTCCTGATACCTTGTACCTCCGTACAAACTGAAGGAGCTTCCTAATACAGCTGTTTGAGCACAGCAGAGAGGCCAGCCATATACACTGTGAAAGGCAGTGTTGAGAATTGAAAAAACCAGTTCTCTAAAGAAGATATGCTCCAACTCCAAATCATTGACATTGGAACCATTACAGTAGCTAAAAGAAATGAGCTAAAGAAACAAACAGTAGGTAGAGATAAACTTAAACAACATGACAACCAATAAGCATATTCTATCTCTTCCTCCAACCCATAGTCTGAACATTGAGACTGCTTCTTTTTCTTCTTCATTTTCTTTTTTTGAGTTTTGGTTAGAGATTTGCTATGGGGTTTAGGATCTTCTGCCTTGTGAGGACAACAAAGTTTGAAAAATTTGATAACCTTGTCTTCATGGGATTCCTGGGGATCTAACGAGTCTTCTTCTTCGACCCAGCCGATAGGATTAATTTTCCTTCCTTGCTCAAGGATTTTAGCCTTACTCCTCGTAACAATTTGTGACGGTGAGTACGTCCTTCTGCCCTTTAGTTCTTTACGGAGATGGAGGGGGTGTTTAGAGCATCTTGAGAGGTCAATTTGCAAAGGCCTGAGTTTTGTATCTATGAACACAAATTCTTCCCCATCGGAGTGGGTATAGAGAATGGGTCCATCCCTGTCCTTAGCATGATCTTCCACTGCGTTGAGGGAAAGTATCAAACTTTGGCCATTGATATTTGAAAAGGGGTCTTCTTCCGGCTCTGCTATTACAAAGCTAACTAAACTGTTAGGCAAAGCTCACCATATTTTTTTAACACTTTGAATTTTTTTTGAAAAAAAATCAAATAAAGGGGTGCTGACTAGACTTTGACCATTGACCGTTGACCATCACGGGTCACCGCCTGCCACCGCCGGCAGACCACCTTCGGCCGCCGACCACCGCCGCCGCCGTCGACCACCATCCCTGGTCGCCGCCGGTCTCTGCCGCGCCGCCGCTGCTGACCGGTGGTTGACTAGTGTGGCTATTTTATTTTTAATTATTTTTTTAATTTTCAAAATTAAAAAAAGGTGAGTTTTGGTGTTCAAAGTGGTGAGCTTTGCTTTATTTCCAGGTGAGCTTTACATTGGTCATTGGTGAGCTTTGCATCATATCACCGAAGCATGTCATCTCACTGTAAGGTGTCATCTCACTGGAGTCAATCCATATATATATATATAATTTAAAGTTTTTAATATGTTTTGTACCAATAAATTACCTTTACTAATCCGATTCTAAAAACTATGATAATGATACAGTCTTAAACGAATTTTGAAGAAACACGATACTTTGATACAAAAAACAAAGACAAATTCTATGGTGGACTTAAGATCTATCATGAACCTACATATTTGTAAAATTAATATTTTTTATTATTTAAAAAACATTTATTTTTTTAAATAACAAAATTAATAAACAAGTTTTTTTGCATAAGAAAGTCTAAAAATTGATATGTATCCAAAGATTCTAAGGTTGACCAAAACCTCAAAATACTACGTACTCGGTATTTTTTTTATGAACTTTGGTCTTTTGGATCGTCTCCCGTAGTCCGGCGGGAATCATGCTGCACGGAGTTGACCGCCACCGGTAAATGATATACGAAGCAAACACTCGTATATACGAGGAATTTAGTACTCTGTATTAACAATCGGAGTCATAGCTTCTTCAGTTCGTCGCTGTCTGTCTCAACCGCTTCGTCCTAAGACTAGCTACTCAGCTCACGGCGGAGGATAGGAGTGGAGGATAGTCCTTTAGAAGCGGAAACCGATCGGATCTCAGAAACAATGGCGAAAGACTCGACGTTGGTGCACTCGACGTTGGTGACGTATGCATCAATGCTCTCACTACTCATATCCTGTCCTCCTTTTGTCATTCTATTGTAAGTGATTTTCAGATCTATTTTGATTTTCTTAAGCATTAATTTCAGTACGATTTAGCCAGGAAGTGTTGAAATGTTCGCTAAATGTTAGCAATTTTCTACTGAAAAACCGCTAACCTTCTTGATTTGTTTGACTGTATCCTCCTAGAAAGCTTTAGGTTGATTCTTAATGATTTTGATCAGAAATGTAAGTGAAAACTTAAAAGTTACTGTTTTCGTTCGATAAAAAATGTAAGTGAAAACTTAAAAGTTATTTTTTTGCTCGACTTTGAATCGTCTAGGTGGTATACTATGGTACGTAGAAATGATTTTGATCAGAAATGTTAATGGAACTGAAAATGTTTTGTTTTTGCTCAAACGTGAACCGTGTAGGTGGTATACTATGGTACATGCTGACGGCTCTGTATTGCACACATGGAATTACCTATACCAGAATGGCCTGAAAGGGTTCCTTGATATTTGGCCAAAGCCCACAGCAAATTCTTGCAAAATTCTTGCGTGTTATGCAATATTTGAGGCTGCTCTTCAGCTTTTATTGCCTGGAAAGAGGGTTGAGGGACCGATTTCTCCAGCTGGAAACAGGCCTGTCTACAAGGTATGCATTTCCCCCTTTAATATATCTCATGAAGTTGATCAAACACTCCGTATGCTAGTTTTTGAAATTGATTTCACTTTATCTTGTTTTTTTTCCACATTGTTTTTCGCTCTGATGCACTGATTAGGCAAATGGGGTGCTAGCGTATGCAGTGACATTGGCTACATATATCAGCCTTTGGTGGTAAGACCTTTTGCAAAACTATTTGTCCACTCTCGGTTTGTAAGTGTCTTAAATGGCATAAAATTTTGTACTCTATTATTTAAAGGCCTAATACCTGCCAATGCTATTTTAAGTTCCAAAAGCATTTTCTTGCTTTCTTTAAAGTTTGTGTAATTTTCATGATCACTTTCGCTCAGGTTTGGGATATTCAATCCTGCAATTGTTTATGATCATTTGGGGGAGATTTTCTCCACACTCATTTTTGGGAGCTTTATCTTCTGTATTTTCTTGTACATTAAAGTAAGTCAGAAAGTGTGTATAAGTCAAATGTTCTTTTTTTCAGGTGATCAGTTTACGTCCTGAGCATTAATATCTTTCTGACACTGAGTTTATTTACTACAGGGTCATGTTGCACCATCTTCCTCTGATTCCGGCTCGTCAGGAAACATAATTATCGACTTCTACTGGGTAAGCTTCTTTGAACTCATGATGTTTACAATCAAGCAGCCACTCATTGTTACCTTACTCATGCTTTGTTTCATTGATTGATGTTTATTTATATCCATAGTAATTCTCTTATTGAAAGAAAGCGATGGGAAACTAGATACAAAGTTAAAAATAGAACTGTTAGGATCCGTCTCACACGGGCTAAGATTCTAGATGAAGAACATAAAGAACATTCAGGGTCTAGAGAGAGAAAACATAGGGAGAAAAAGTATACGTGGTAATACAGATGGCAACTCCAAGGCTGTATAGGCTATATACAGATGATTTCACAACCTAACAAGAACTTATTGAAGTACCAATAGAGTAATTTGAAACAATTACACAATTTAATTACATAGTTATTTAAGTAAGCTGATTTTCCAATGCAGGGGATGGAACTATATCCTCGTATTGGCAAGCACTTTGATATCAAAGTGTTCACAAACTGCAGATTTGGCATGATGTCTTGGGCAGTTCTTGCCGTGACTTACTGTATAAAACAGGTAAAACATCTAAGGTATCCTTGAGAATGAAATGCAGTTAAACATTTGTCTCTGAATATGTTTAAACCTTTACTATTCCCAGCAACCTTCTTTATATCTATCTTAGTAATGTTGGATATCTGATGATGATGGGTACATGCGAGGTGCATATTTATTAAATACTACCGAGTACTTCATCTTGGCCTTTTTAATCTATTTCTTGAAATCATGATACCACCAATCTAATAATGATGATGCAATCATGCAAATTTTGTGTTATGAGGAATTCGAGAATAACAAAAATAAACGAGAAAACACGACAACAGATTTAACGTGGTTCACCAACGTTGTGTTGGCTAGTCCACGGGTAGAGGGGGGAGCAGTTTTATTTCGGATGGAGAGGCAAGAACAGAATACAGCGTAGGGTTTGTGGTAGCACCCATAAATAGTGCTTGGTTAAACCCTAACAGACTTGGGCCCAAAACTACATAATTAACAGATAATTAGAAACCCCAAATAAAATAGGATTCGGTCATCTCAAGATTCGGACTTCTCGGAATTCGGATTTCTCGACTTCTCCGGAGTTCGGATTTCTCGACTTCTCCGGAACTCGGATTTCTAGACTTCTCCGGAACTCGGATTTCTCGGACTTCTTCGGAACTCGGACATCTCCCTGCTGTAACGAGTCAGATTCAAGGCATTACGACAAATCTCCACCTTGACTTGAATTCTCCATACAGATCCTTCGGATTCAGATGCACTTTGGTTGTGCCAGGCCTCCCCCTCTTCCTCAGAGTTGTTCCACAGGGCAACTAACAGCTTCTGATGTTAAGCAAGTCCAAACAGTGTTGAAACTTGCTTTGCGGAACCGGCTTTGTGAACATATCAGCAGGATTATCAGCAGTTCCTACTTTCTTCACCTGGATTCTTCTCTCACTCCTCAGAAAATGATACCTCACGTCAATATGCTTGGTTCTCTCATGATGGACTTGATCCTTGGCTAGACAAATCGCACTCAAACTGTCACAATACACTGTAGCCTTATCATGATGCAGACCGAGATCACTAACCAGCCCTTTCAGCCAAATTCCCTCCTTCGCAGCTTCTGTCAAAGCCATGTACTCTGCTTCCGTAGTTGACAAAGTCACTGTAGGTTGCAAAGTTGCCTTCCAGCTAACAACAGAACCTCCAAGAGTAAACACATAGCCAGTCATCGATCTTCTCGTGTCAACATCTCCAGCATAGTCAGAATCAGAATATCCTGTAACCAAACATTGAGTATCACCTCCATAAATGAGACCAACGTCAGATGTACCCCTAAGGTACCGGAAAATCCTCTTCACAGCCTGCCAATGTTCTCTCCCTGGTTGTCCCATGAATCTGCTAACTACACTTACTGCATGTGCTATATCTGGCCTTGTACAGACCATAACATACATCAAACTTCCTACAGCACTGGCATAAGGGACTCGTGACATATACTCCTTCTCTTCTTCTGACTGTGGAGCGAACATGGCAGTGAGATGGATATTGGCAGCACTGGGGGTGTCAATAGGCTTAGATGAAGACATGCCAAACCTCGTCAAGACCTTCTGAATGTAACCTCTTTGTGACAAGAAAAGTTTCCTTTTCTCTCTGTCTCTAATGATCTCCATTCCTAAAATCTTCCGAGCGGCTCCCAGATCCTTCATCTCAAACTCAGCACTAAGTAAACCCTTCAGCTTCTGGACGTCATACTTTTGCTTTGCAGCTATCAACATATCATCTACATAGAGCACCAGATAGATGAATGAATCATCTTTGAGCCGATTGTAGTAGACACAACAATCATATGAGCTTCGAGTATAGCCCAACTTCACCATATAGCTGTCAAATCTTTTGTACCACTGCCTTGGAGACTGCTTAAGTCCGTATAAGGACTTCTTCAACTTGCACACATGACTTTCCTTCCCTAGAACTTGGAAACCATCCGGCTGAGTCATGTATATCTCTTCCTCCAATTCTCCATGTAGAAATGTTGTCTTCACATCAAGTTGTTCGAGCTCCAGATTTTGATGTGCAACTATCGCTAGTAACACACGGATGGAAGTGTGTCTGACCACAGGTGAGAAGATCTCATTGTAGTCCACTCCCTCTCTTTGGTTGAAGCCTCTAGCAACGACCCTGGCTTTATACTTGACCCCTTCTGCTGGTGATATTCCTTCCTTCCTTTTGAAAACCCATTTGCAAGTGATAACCTTTCTCCCTGGAGGCTGTAAGACAAGATCCCATGTTTGATTCTTATGCAAGGACTCCATCTCATCTCCCATAGCGGCTAGCCATTTTTCAGAATCAGAACTTAAAATAGCTTCTCTCTAAGTAGATGGTTCAGAAGTATCTACCTCTTCAGCAACCTGCAGTGCATAACCCACCATGTCCTCAAAACCATACCTCATAGGTGGCCGAACTCCAACCCTTCTTGGTCGATCTTGAGCTATACTACGATGGGTATCTGATGGCATAGATTCTGGGAAATCAGTTTCTGTCCGTGGCTCTTGATTCTTCTCTTCAGGTTCTTTCATATCACTCTCGTTCTGAGTGACTTGAAGCTCCACCTATTTATCAAGGCTCTCAGTTTCTGTCGTAGTTGTAGGCTTCACGATGGTTCTAAACAGAGAACTTTCATCAAAAACAACGTTTCTGCTCAGGATAACCCTCTTTTTTGCTGGAGACCAGATTCTAAAACCTTTCACTCCATCTCCGTAGCCCACAAATACTCCCTTTTTAGCTCGTGGTTCTAGCTTACCTTCACTGACATGATAGTAAGCTGTACAACCAAAAGCTCTCAGATTTGAATAATCAGCAGCTTTTCCTGACCACATCTCCACAGGTGTCTTGCACTGAATGCCTGTATGTGGTCCGCGGTTAATCAAGTAACAGGCTGTACTAACCGCTTCTGCCCAGAACCTCCTGTCTAGCCCGGCATTAGAGAGCATGCACCTTGCTCTCTCCAGAAGTGTTTGATTCATCCGCTCAGCTACACCGTTCTGTTGTGGTGTATTTCTGACTGTACGATGTCGAGCAATCCCTTCATCCTTACAGAATTGATCAAATTCAGACCAACAGAATTCCAGCCCATTATCAGTTCGCAACCTCTTGATCTTCTTCCCTGTTTGGTTTTCCATCAATGTTTTCCACTCCTTGAACTTTTGGAGAGCATCATTTTTGTGCTTCATCATGTACACCCAAGTCATCCTTGAGTAATCATCCATAATTGACACAAAAAATCTGCATCCTCCCAAAGACTCAACTCGGCATGGACCCCATCAATCAGAATGGATGTAATCAAGTGTGCCTTTTGTTCTATGAATGGCCTTTGGAAACTTGTTGCGATGTTGTTTTCCAAAAACACAATGTTCACAAAACTCCAGGATCTTTACTTTATGACCTGCAAGAAGATCCTCCTTTGACAGAATTTGCATCCCTTTTTCACCCATATGACCAAGTCTCATGTGCCACAACTTGGTCATATCTTCCTGTTTAACTTCTGATGATGCAACATGGACTGAACCTGTAACCGTGGAACCTTGTAAAAAATACAAAGTACCCCGCATGACACCTTTCAGAATCAGATTTGAACCCTTCCAGACGCGCAAAACTCCATCTTTTCCTGACCAACTGAACCCCTTGCTGTCCAAAAGACTGAGAGATATCAGATTCTTTGTCATCAATGGCACGTGCCTGACCTCGTTCAATGTGTAGAAGCTACCATCATGTGTCCTTATCTTGATCGAGCCTGTCACAACCACCTTGCAGACAGAACTGTTGGCCATCGAAATGCCCCCTCCGTCTACCTGCTCATAAGTCGTGAACCACTCTCTCGTTGGACAAATATGATAGGATGCCCCAGAATCTAGAACCCATACATCTGAGTGATGAGTGTTTTCATCAGCAACTAAGGCAATGTCTTCTTCAGAGTTGGTGTCTTCTTCAGCAACAGCAGCAGAAACTGATTGTTTTTCGGATTGCTTCTTCTTCTTTGGACAATCAAACTTCCAATGCCCCTTCTCCTTGCAGTAATTACAGACATCATCCGGCTTTGCACCCTTTGACGACAGCTTTCTCTCCTTCTTCTTTCCGCCGTATTTCTTTCCCTTTCCGGTACTGGTGAATAGGCCGGAAGGTTGTACATCTGTACTCGTGCCATTAGCCTTATGCCGCAATTCTCTGCTGTGAAGGGCCGATCTAACTTCTTCCAGACACAGTATCTTTCCCAACAATGAACAATTGAACAAAATTCTCAAACGATATTGGGAGAGATACCAACAGAATCAGGGCAGCATCTTCATCCTCGATTTTTACATCGATATTAC